TTTATTTCGTAGGGTTCTCATCAGCTGATTACAACTTGTCAATAAAGTTATGAGTTTGAAAGAAGTAATGTCATTAAAATAAGAGAGATAAACTTTTGAGGAGTGACGTAATAAACTGACAAATCTACAGCAAACCAAAAAACCTATCTTCATTTCACTTGAATGTCGCAGCGATAATAATTAGAAGATTGAAAACTATACTAGGCATAGGCTATCCTACAGCTAAACTCATTATCTTGTATAAGACATTATGTTCTTTACTGCAATCAAAGGTCAATAGGTACCCCTTTTATGTTACCTCCAACTGCATATAGAATTTACATGTACCTGCTAAAGCAGTTACATTGGCAGAACAGATAAAAGGGCCGATGTTCAATTCCAAGAACATATCCCAAAAAGTTTCAAGTCAATGAGATTAAAGGCTTTAAGCAGGGCCATTGCACGATAGATTAAAATCCTTTAGCATCATCAACTGACAGTCGAATTCCGTTCTTCTCAAGTTCGCTGAGACCATAACCATCAAATGACTTCAGCCGGACTTATGTACCTATAAGGAAACAGTTGTAAACCTCTCTATACCACGGTGACTGATTTCAACTCATGTAATTTTTCGTCGCTATTAATTCATGATCCAACTAATTGATTATATAATCAGTCAATTAATTATTTCTTCTCTATGATCTCATATTGTTAAATCTTCTGATCTAGAATTGTTGTAACGCTTGCTTAGATAATTCCCAGCTAAATCCTATTGTTTAGTATTCTCTGACCACAATACACTGGACAAGTTCCCAAGAATCAAAACACGGTTGAACAGGAAAAGATTATATTCCAAAATAGCAAGGTTAAATGGAATAAGAAGCCAGAGGTGATGGCGAAGGCGAAGGCAAAGAAGACAAAAATAGATACAACGTTAGTTTATTTATAGCATTTACATGAGAAGCTTCTGGATAGAAATTCACGTGATCGACTGGATTAGATTTAACCAATCAGCACGCAGCCGACAATACGAGAATCTTCTACCCTGTTCTCCAAGATTCGATCAGGCACTGATTGAATAGGAAATTAGCCAATCAGCGCGTAGCAACTTAGTCATGCTTCAATTCATCTATGTCCCCCTAACACCTCTCCTTTGAGAAGATTCATAGGATCTGGTGCTAGAGTCCAACTGCTTCCTTGGTGCCTTGCCACCCGTACTCTTACGAGCCGCCTGCTTTGTAGGAGCCATATCTTTAAAAAACCGTCGATTAGGCTGCTTCCCCACCGATAAGTTTTGTTGAGGCTCATGAGCAGCATATGGTATAGGGCGTCTCGGACGTGAAACAGGTTTGGCATCTGATTTCACTGGTAGGTGAGCTTTCATATTCGTACAGCGGCCAAGGCTATTCTGAAAAACAGAGGCTGACTTCCTCTTCCGTTTATATTGTAACCTTTCACCTGTCTTCTTTGTAAGTGTCGGGGTGTCTAATGATGAACACGACACGCTGCAGACACTGTTAATGGTTACATCCATTATTCCCAGTTTTTCTAGCATATCTAGACCAAGAAGCTCAAGGTTTGGTCGTTCTGTCAGATAGCATATTCCTGTACATTTTGTTCCGTTGAGGGAAAATTCACACTGTATCTCACATTAAGGTGATATCTGATGCTGTGTCGATTTGAAAACGAGCTGATGCACCATTCATCTGGATAGTAACATACTTTTTCCGAACGTCATAGTCTGGTTGAAAGGCAGCTACGAGACAAAGTGATTTAGACTTGGCTAATTTCACCACATGTCGAGTACGTTTATGCTTCTTCCTGGGCTGAGACGTACGATTTGGTTGACAATGGCCTTCTTTATGTCCACGTTTGTTGCACATCTGACATTTATGTTTTTTAAATGGACATAATCGTACGTAATGCCAATCACCACATAACCAACAAGAATCTTCTCTCAAGTACTATATTTACTAAAAGCACTCTTTATATCTCACTACTCCACCATGATGATGCATAACCTCTTTTCAATTGTTATAGGTAAATAAATTTTAAAACAATTTCGATTCTAAAAATATTACAGGTTTTAATCAGCTGAGTTCCTGTTATTCTGTTCAATTCTTAATTCTTGCTCTCTCCAAGAGATATATATAATTTTTAAAAAAATGCACAAATTATCCTGAACTTTTTCTGTTTATTTATTATTTTTATATAGGAAAGAAATGTTGAATTAGCTTCAATGTTAGAAAAACGTAATCTAGCCTATGAACGTTTAACAGTGAAACTTGATTCAATGAAAGAACAATATGAACGTCGATTAAATGATTTGACGAATGAACGTAAAAATTTAGAATCTAGTTCTCAACGAGATTTAGAGAAAACTAAAGAACAAGTTAGTGTATCATCATCTAGTTACTTTTTTTCTTTTCTTACTAATTATTTTTTAAATTTATAGAACGTGTATTTTTAAATTAAAATGAGTGTATGTTTGACAATTTAGCAGTTGTTTAATGGTTAGTTATTAAAACAATTGATTAACTTTTTAAAAGTCATTGATATATATGATTTGTATCGTATATTAGTCCTTACAAATATAATATTGCTCAATATGGAGCGTATAAATGCCTACTTAGATAAATGATCTAAATTTGATGAATGAAAAATTGATTATTGTGATCAATATGAATTCCTTAATAATTGAACATTGAAAAAAAGCAAAAAATGGTCATGAAGAATTTTAGAAGATTCAGTCAGTCAGCCAGTCAGACAGATGCAACGTAGAACTTCGTATGTAAGTACATCAGTTCATGTCACCATACCACATCAGCACAGAGATGTAATTGTCAATTCAAATCCAATAGTAGAAGAGGTAGTAAAGGTATTAGAAGTAATCGGAGAGGTTAGAGGATTAGAAGATATTATTCAAGAAGTATGATTCAGTTTAGAAAGTCAGTTTAGAAATTCAAAACTAGAGGTGTTGAAGGATGCAGAAGATTAGGATTTGAGATAACACAAAGAATAAATGCACCGGCGCCATTGCAAACGGTTTTGAGCCATGTCGTTCAGTGTATCTAACCATCGATTATTATCATCTCGCGGACCCCAAGATTAAAATTTAAAAAAAGCCAAATAATGGATGCATCTGTGCCATTGCAAGCGATATACGAGCCAAGTCATTCAAAATCTCTAACCACACCGGTCACGATTAAAGAATTATCACTAGTCTGTTAATAATAGTTAAAGGTAATCATCAGGAAATTGTATACATCATATAGGTTTTACTTTTATTTGAGGTGATTTTTTTCAACTGATGACTGCTGTTTCGGTCAGATTCATTCAAATCTCCATAGCATCAAATATTCACACTTAAAAAAATATCTGATTCAAACTGACTAGTGGACTGAGTCATGTTGGTAGATGTAGACTACCTGGTTTGGGTCCGCGAGACGAAAGTCACCAATGGTTAGAGACCTTGAATGACATGGCTCAAAATCGTTTGCAATGGCGCAAGTGCATCCATTCGTTGAGTTCTCTCAAATCCTAATCTTCTGGATTCGTCAGCACATCTACCTTTGTCTTTCTAACCTTATCTCACTGAATTATACTTGAATAATATCTTCGAACCCTAGTCTTCTTCATTACTATTAATGCCTCTACTATCTCTATCGCTATGGGATTTGATTTGATATTTGCGTCTCTGTGTGTTAATGTGATATGGCAACTTGAACTTATGTACGTACATACGTACGAAGTTCTACGTTGCAACTGACTGACTGATTCAAACTTAGGTGGTTTTATAAATTATTAGGGTTAAAATTTGAAGAGAAAAAGTTTTCATTGTCATTTCAACATGAAACAAAATCTTAATTGCATAAAATTTAATGGATTGTACATTAAAAAATTGTCATCATCAATTCGTGACTTGATAATATTACATAGTTTTGTATTAATTTAAAAAAAATTAATACAAATTCATTGTCTCCTGACTACCCTAAGCAACAATACAAGTATGTTCGGTGTGCGATTCTCCCCGTCGAAATGCAAAATGTTGCTTTAGGATTAGCTTGTATTGGCACATGAACTAGTGATAGGGAGTGAAGTAGTCGAGCGTGTTGATCGCTTCACTTATCTGGGGAGTCTCATCAGTGCTGATGTCCTGGTGACTGACGAAATCTCAGCACGGATACAGAAAGCTCGACTGGCTTTTTCCAACCTGCGTCACTTATGGCGTAGGCGAGATATCCTTTTGCTAACCAGAGGACGAGTGTACTGCGCATTAGTCCGCTCCGTCCTACTTTATGGTTGTGAAACATGGCCAGTCAGAGTAGAAGATATTCGTAGGTTATTAGTATTCGATTATAGATGTCGCTAAAGCATTGCCCGTGTATCGTGGGACAACCGATTAATCAATGCTGTTGTTAGGAAACGGGTACTAGGTAAGGATGGCAGGTCAATAGATGAAGTGTTGAAACTTCATCAGTTGAGGTGGTTGGGACATGTGTTATGTATGCCCAACCACCGACTGTCTCGTCGAGCTATGTTTTTTGTGTAGGAATAGGATGTAAGAAAGCTAGGTGTGGAAAAAGCAAAAGTTGGCAAAGTGCATGACTGACCCATGTTGGAAGGTGTCTACTACCTGGTTGGGGTCCGCGAGATGATAGTGATTGATGGTTAGAGACCCTGCATGACATACCTCGGAGTCGTTTGCAATGGCAAAGGTGCATTCATTCTATGTGTTCTCTCAATTTGTATCCTTCTGAATTCCTCAACACTTTATCTTTTTCTTTTAAGTTTATTTCACTAGATTCTACTTCTTGAATAAGACTTTCGAACCCTAATCTCTCCGACTACTGCTAATACCTTTACTACCCCTATTACTATGGGATTTGAAGTGACAATTACGTCTGTGCTAATGTAGTATGGCAACGTGGACTGATTTACGTACGTACGTAGTTCTACATTGCTCTTGACTGATTGATTGATTGATTGAATCAATTTCAAAAAATGTGCCAATAATCTCTCTGTATTACAACTCCACCTATCCATTAATCTTTGAAGGTTGTGAAAAAAAATAAAATATTATTAAGATATATAAAACTGTGCTATTATTATTATTTTTAAATGAAATACAATAAAGTAATAAATATTTATTTAAATCATGAGATGATTGCATCATTATACCAAACTATCCTTTGAATTAGTTAAGTAACTAGGTGTGTGTGTGTGTATCGGAGTGTGTATTTTTAGCAATTCAATGTTATTATTACCTGTTCTCAAATATCACTTATTTGAGTTTTGTCTGAGAGCGAAAAAGGATTCTAAGAGAAAAAATTGGAGTGTTATAAAAATTCTCGTTCAGGTGGTAACTTGTTGAACTATACTTGTAAAAGAATTTCTTTTTTAATATTCTCAACTTTAGAACAAGTATCGACTGTTCGGTCTGAAGATCTTTCCAATTTCAGTGTTAATATGTAGTGCTAAATCACTTGTAACAATCAACTTTTCAATTTTTATTTGTCAATAAGTAAATCGTTCAGGGTTTCTAACCATCGGTTACTATCGTCTCGTGGACCCCTACCAGGTAATCTACACTTACAAACATGACTCAATCCAGTTGTCAGTGACTTCGTGAATTTATGCCATGTTTTGGTCTTTCCGCCCCTACCTTTCTTCCAACCTACTCCTACACCACAAAGCATCGCTCGGCAATTCAGTCGTTGATTGGACATTCGTAACACATGTCCCAACCACCTCAACTGATGAAGTATCAATATTTCATCTATTGGTTTAACATCGCTACTAGGTAGGGATGGCAAATATAATTATTTAAATGGATATCAGTATAATGAGACTAAAACAAGTCAGATGAAGGTCATGAGTGAGTAGATAAAAAGTCAAGGTTTATCAAATGATTGGTAAATTTTATTGATTTGTTAGCGCCTTACTTAACGTAGATTTTTAGCTTTACTCCTCCATGTTTTTTGTCTTATAAAATGTAACACTATCCGAATGGTTAAAGCTCATAACCCTCAACTGCCGGGTTACGGGTTCAAACTGTGATCCACCTACTTCGATGTGTAGGTAGACGTTTAACTGCATAGTAAAAGGCCAAACACACAAACCTGTTCTTTTATTGACTAATTAGTACGGTGTAGATAATAAGATGCAATCAGCCAATAAGCGAAGATAGACGTATCTGATTAGAGTAGATGAAAGGGATTATTTTTTGATCCCTTTTGGATTCTTCCCTGATTGTTTTCATTGTGTGTCAACAAATTGTTATTCTCGCTCGTAGTAATTTAGTTCTTAATGGTTGATCGACCCTTCGGTATATGAGTTCATGTGATCGAGTATCTAGTTATCCTATTATCCAGTATCAAGTTCTCTTGATCTTGCTGATCGTATTATATTTTGTATTTAGTATTCCAAATGTAGGAGGACTATGTTAAGTCAAAGGACAAATCTTAAATTTGCTTAGTTATATTATTATTTAAGTAATGCAGTCCATGAACCAAATAGTATAAGGCTATTTTTATCACTTCATTCCTCAGACTGAATAAAGTGATGTGGGGTTCGGATCTGAAACGTAATTATTGAAATCGGATTACCTCTCTCTACTACCTACTGAGTTTCAGAAATATATAATAAATACATTTGATATATTATAATCTAAACTAATCCCAACTTTTGTTTATCACAACAATGGGAAACGACACTAACCTAGTTGTTAGACTTTGTTTGAAGTAATAGGAAGTTTTCTATCCGCATGTATTACCGATTGTTTTTTTTTCTTCCATTTTGTATGTTATCAATTGTTCTGGCTATTTTTAGCAACAAACAACTAAGGTTTATTATCCATCTATGTATTAATCCGAGTTTGTTCCAATTTTTTGCAAACGGTCCAGCTAATCGATATATATATATGTGTTTTAATTAAATAGAAGTTAGAAGTACACATATGCACACACACACACACACACACGTAAACGTGTCTCTTAATTAATGACAATTCATCTTATTCAGAAATATGACCTTATTCAAAAATCAATTATATTCGTGTCATTTAAAAAAAGCTTAATGAATCGATTTAGTGAGAGGTATAAGTTAGTTAGTACTGCGATCGATAAGCTGTCAAAACTGTATGCGGAGTTAACCAAACATTCAGTTATATGGATCTGCATTATTGTCCTGAAGTGTAGTCGTTCAATATTTAAAGTATTCGGCTTTTAATCACTGCGTAAAATATTCCGACAGAGTCGTGGATGAAAATAAACTGGAGGATCATGGAAAAGCGAAAATCGCTGTACAGATTATTCGCTTGGTTTGAACTCCTAATCAGTAGGCATTTACTAAATCATCTGCGGTCAAACCTACGATTTTTCTGTTTTGCCCTATTCACTTAACCTTTATACCGCCTAATCGGAAGCCAGTGGTCTACATTTCCAAATATCACCATATAGTACAACATTGTCAGATTCTCTTTGTGAATAGTTGCTTTTATTCCCAGGGTAGTTTAGTTAATTCCTGGTGTTCTCGTGTGAATTTGACTGGTGAAATTTTGTTCATCGCTAGATATTAGTGAGTAATCTATACACAACACGGAGCAGCTACCGATCGCTCCATTAGTAATAGGTTACTAAACCGAATTCACTAGATTTGAAGCTTTATCTAAATTGTTTATTAGTTTAAGATAGTTTTTTCTAGTCCTTCAAGGAAACACCTGCAAAGCTAGTGATTTGGAACGTATTAACATATAAGTAACATTAAAGGAAATCAGAGAATGTTCGGAAGCCTGAAAAGCCTGTACCGCTGATTAGGATTCTCTAACTGACTCTGTTCTGGGCTCTCCTTTCCGGTTGTTCCCTATCGGTATTCATTCTTTCATGTTTTATTCGAATCGACGATGGAACATGTTCTTTGATCTGACGCTTTTGTTTTCGCCTTGAAGATTCCAAGTTACTGCTTGCCTCGTGATACAGTTGAGTGTTTTCTTCGATATGTGTCCGATCCACTTTCAGAGCTATTTCCTAATTTCCTTTCCAGCTGGAAGCTAGTATGTTCTCTGCCACGGTAGGTTGTTGCCAATGGTATCTAGCCAAATGATGCAGAGTATCTTGCATGGACAACTGTTAATAAACACTTTTGTCTTGTGGAAGATGGCTTTAGTAGTTCTCCAAGTTCCAGCTCCATACAGTAAAATGGTCTTGACGTTTGTATTGAAATTTCTGACTTTGGTGTTGGTTGTAAATTGTTTTGGGTCCCAGATATTTTTTAATTGAAGAAATACTGCCCTTACTTTTCTTAATCTGTGCCTTCACATATTAATGATACTGTCCTGAGACGTAAACTTTTCCACCTCTTCCAGAGCTTCTCCATCAAATTTCGGTGTTGCCTGTGCTATATTTTATGAACAGTTGGGTTATCTGACATTCATGGAACACAAACTATGAATCGTTCATAAAGAGATCTAACAACGTTCAAATATTTCCATGAAATATTTGTTAATGTCTAAGAAAAACGATTTAGGTTTGCATCTTTCTACTATCCAGCTCAGAAAAGGGCAACATTTCCAACACAGGCTTTCTCTGTTTAACACCAATGATTGACTATCACTTTTATGAGAATTAGAGGTGTTAATTATTTTCTAGTTATTATTATATTCTTGGATGATAACGACATTAATAATGAAGAATATCCCATTTAACCGTGTACAGATATATCAACTTAATACGCAACATTGAATACCGGAATACTACAATAAGCCAAGCACAAGAATGATTTCGAAAATGTTTATATTACACATCCGTTCATAGAGAGACAGATAATAAGAATAAAACGAAGCTGAGATGGTTAATTGACCTATTCAGTTGTAAGTACGAATCCAGGTACATACAACTACCATACATGTCAAGTTCACACATATGTAAATCTGATAGAGTGACTAGAATAATCAAAATAATTATTTGTCTGTTCAAAAGTTACGATAAATTGCATGAATCTGCAATAAACTAAAAGCTGTTACTATTGTTCTGTTTGTTATGAAACTTATTCCTTTGGAAAATAATATTTCATTGTTTTCCTTATAGATTAGAGCACACGCTAAAACTATTGGAGTTTTAGTAGCTGAAAAAACTGAACTCCAATCACAAGTGACACATTTAGATAATTTGGCTGTGCAAAGATTACGAGTAAGTTAAATTGATTATGAATTGTTTCGTTATAAAATAAACAACTTTTTTTTCGGCTTTGATTGGTACCTGTAAATTTTTAACTAATCTATTAAGTAAGTAGTAAGTTTAATTGAATGGGTTTTGTGGTGATTGGTCTAATTCTGTCACTGAAATCTATATCAATGGGAATATCATCGAAGATCATGTAGCACTGAGCAACTATTTCGTTCTAGGATGCAACTCTTTAAAAGTCACACCCTTGATCAAGCCAGAAATTGGACAAGTATCTTCAAAGGTTACAGTGAGCACTTGACTATTGGGATGACTAGTTCGGCATCTGCTGGTAAAGTTGCAACTCCAGACCATTTTCAATTAGCGCTGTGATAAGCCAGTTAGTTCTATTGGTGAAAGCTTTTTCACTCTTGATGTCTAAACTCTAGAGGTCACTGCTTTTCATTGCTTCTCAGGACCACCTTGAATTTAAATTACTTTTCATCCACTGAGTTTTCTATTGTTAACACTCCAGTTCACGTGCATTTCTTCTTGACAAGTGTCCCTATCTTTCTGAGTCCTTACTGTCCAGTTCAGTCGGACAGCGCACAAGCTACTATCTACAGGGATCCGGTCTAGGAGAGCTAGTTCTGCCCTACGACTCAATGCTATACCTACACCAGCGAGACCCCTGGAAGCAGCATCAGGGCTACCGGATACACGAAGAGTAAATCGGGCTGCTTCTTTGTATTGACAAGTCGAAATCAGATTAATGACTTTACTAGGATCCTCTATGCGCGTTTCCGAGACGCAGCACACATCGATTGCGCGAGATTCTAAAGTCCTAGCTAAGGAAGCCTGTTGCCCTAGTTGACACAATGTCCGTACATTAAATGCTCCAACATGTAGTCTAGAGCGGGGTTTCAGGATACCAGAAATGACGTTTCGTGAACTCGCATCGTTTGCATTAGCTGTGCAGTGTGATAAAAGAATGTGAGAAGAGTTAGTTGTGGAGATAAGAGAGGTATTAGGGGGTGTAGGAAGGATTTGATTTTGGCCAATTTGGTTTCGTGTGCTGTTTTTAGGGTCGACCTTTTCTAACCCTTCCTTCCTTGTGAGAAGGCAGCATCGCTGCAGATGCTGGTTGTCCGAGGGAAACAGCTTACTTCTGTCACGCCCCTCTGCAGTCAGCAGTACGACTTCGCCCTCAGACCTTGAGTAGCTGCTTTTAGTCTGATCGTTCTCCAATCGACCTGCCTGGCACGGTAGAACCTTCAGGAACATATGTTCCAGCCAATATAGCTCGGTTGGATCATGACGATAGGCAAGTTGGACCACCACGACAAGGTAGCAGCTACGGTCGGTACGGTACGAAATATGTACAAAGTAAATAGAAAATACATCTCATTAACATCAACACTATTTTATCGTATGGTGTCAAATCGCTATCCATTAAAGGTTCTGTAATTCACTGTTGCCCCACCTGAAATCAATGTGCAGTGATTATAACTTACAAAGTGATAAGCGTAGTGATTTTTTAAAATCAGAATTTTTGTTTATGAATAATTTCACAATATTCACTACGTAAATTATTATTGATATTGTAATAGGAAATTGACGATGTCAATTCTCGATTAAAAGCATCACGTCAACAGATTTTAGATTTGGAGCGTAGTTTATCAGATAGTAGAGAAACTGTGAATAGTTTACAAACTGAAGGCAATGATCTACAAAATCAGGTTAGTGTCTCTTTGTCATTATTTCTCTCCTCTGTTTAGTATTATTAGCCTATCTCTTATTCATTAATCTAGAGATTAGTCACTTGCTGTGACAGCTGAATGTCCTGAGTTGTTTAATCCCTTGTGGAGTCATGAATACGCATTCCTGAAATGCTCCACACCAAGGTAAAGTGGCTTCTTAGCGATCCTTGGTTAGAGCGAAGCAGTAGATTAGTGAGTAAGGCTTTCGATTTTTTTCCACAAAGTTTCATGTTTAAAGCCCATTCCACCATCCATTTACGTTCGAGCACCGGGATAACATCATTGTCTCATACACTTTGAGTGTGGCTTATATCCAAGTGCATAGTGATTCATTTAATTAATTTATATCCTTTAAAATGAGTACACTAGCTACTCGGTACACCTCTTCCTTTCCTATTTATGCCGCAGAAAGTAATCTGTCAATAAAATTTGACCAGGCTTCTTCTTCGTTCCTTTTTTCTCTAAGTATTACAGTACAGTCTATATGTTTTTGAATTAATATCGTTATTTATTTAGTAAAGTTGAAATAAACTGTCGAACTAATTAGAATCAAGGAAGTCGCTTGAAGGTCATGTCGCATGTTTTAATCTATAGTCCTCATAATCGGACATTTATGCTAATATTAGGGTTAAGAGTTGAGTTTTAGGATAAGATAAACCATAAATCCTAAAACCCTTACGTTAGTGGGACATAGATGAACTAAAGCATGACTACGTTGCTGCGCGCTGATTGGCTAATTTCCTATCCAATCAGCGCCTGATCGAATCTTGGAGAACAGGGTAGAAGATTCTCGTACTGTTAGCTGCGTGCTGATTGGTTAAATTTAATCCAGTCGATCACGTGAATTTCTATCCAAAAGCTTCTCATGTAAATGCTATAAATAGACCAACGTTGTATCTATTTTTGCCTTCGTTGCCTTTGCCTTCGCAACCACCTTTGGCTTCTTATTACCATTTAACCTTGCTATTTGGAATATATTCTTTTCCTGTTCAACCGTGTTTTTGATTCTTGTGAACTTGTCCAGTGTATTGTGGTCAGAGAATACTAAGCAGTAGGATTTAGCTAGGAATTATATAAGCAAGCGTTACAACACCTTAAATTTGATACTTATTCTTCACTACAACAGTCGCTTTTCTCTGATTGACTAAAAAATTGTCAATATCTTAGGGTCGTTTGACGGGAAGTTTATAGCCTTACTATTCGTTTTAGAGTGATATTCTCATTGTTTTACATTTTTTAACGGTATATCTGTCTATCTGAACTAGACATTAGGAATATGAATCCAATAGACAAAATGTAAAAAGATATGTATGAAAGAATACTGGAGCACTAGGTGATACACAGGGAAACAAAACGTGAGTGCGTTTGTTATTGTGATTGGTTCTCACTCATCATAGCATTTTCAGCTGCTGGCTACGATAATTGCATGCACTTCAACAAACAAGTAGTTTACATCTATACCAGCACTGTCCAGAACAACAATCACCTACTTCAAGGACTATAGTATCTTGTCTTGGTTAGGGCAACTTGTTTGTATCATCTATCATACGATGATTTCTTCACTTATATTATCAATGAAATCACTATCAGTTATTTTGAACTGTAAATATATATATATATATATATATATATATATATATATAAGTTACACATTTTTGAAACCATGAATCGATCAATGTTAGACCACCATTAGAAACCTGGAAGCACTGGACGGCCGTTTCGTCCTAGTATGGGACTCCTCAGCAGTGCGCATCCACGACTCCTGCATCCCGCAGGATTCGAACCCAGGACCTTCGGTATTGTGCGCGAACGCCCTAACCGTTAGACCACTGTGATTGTGATAAGCAACAGTTTATCATACCTAACGCATCTCAATCACCTTAGATAAGGTTTTATTATCTATTTACTGTTATAAGTTATTATGTGTACAGTTTTCAATTATTTTCAATTGTTTATTTACAATTATTGTTATTCTTTCATCGCTATTTATTTCTTTCCATCCATCTAGATTAAATGTCTTCAAGGTGAAATAAAACGTGAAAAAAATACACGTCAAAATCTTGAAAATGAATTAGCTGAAACAAGTTCACGATTAACAGCAAAATCATGTGAATTAGCTCAAACTGGCATAAGTTTAAATGAATTAAGACAACAGCTTGAATTATCACAAGTAGGTTATTTATAGCAAAAAAAAACAGATCATAATTTTGTTGATTGCATTAATTTCCGAATTAAAGCGATGAGAAGTTTAGTTACTTACGCCTGTTACCCCCCCTCAACGGAGCAAAGGCCATGCACCAGCAGTATTTTCCAACCTACTTTGTCCTGTGCAGTTTTTGTTTGTTCTTCCCATGTCTGTCTCCATTTCTTGGTATAATGTGTTCCTTAGCCTTCCTTTTTTCCTTTGACCTTGAGGGTTCCAAGTGAGGGTTGGTCTTTGGACGCAGTCGGGTGCTCTCCACAGTGTGTCCTATACACCAACTCCAGCGCTTCCTGATTTCCTCCTCCACTAGAATCTGGTTTTTTTCTTTCCCACAGTAGATTGTTGCTGATAGTCAACGAGAAGTTAGTCTGTATTATCAGTTTTGTCAATCAATAAATAAATTGAAGAATGTATACGTTGCATAAGGGTGACTAACGGTGTATTGTTTATATTACTGTCCTTACTACTCTAATTTTCTGACCAGTTAATGAATTGATACTTAAATCCCCGACCGCACCTGCTATTTTGACGTGGTGGTCTGACTTGCCTATTGTGATGACCTAACTGAGCTATATTGACTGGAACATATGTTCCTGTAGGTTCTACCATGCTAGGCAGGTCGATTGGAGAACAAGGTGACTAAAAGCAGCTACTCAAGGTTTGAGGGCGAAGTCGTACTGCTGACTGTAGAGGGGTGTGACGGCAGTAATGTGTTCCATCCGGACAATGAGCATCTGCAGCGATGCTGCCTTCTCACAAGGAAAGAACTACTTAGAGTAGTAGGTCGACCCTAACAATGTTACACCTCACTTTACCTCACGGATTCCGTCTCCAACCGTAAGGCCACTTGAAGAGAGCGGCGCTAACACAGCACACGTGACCAAATTGGTCACAATCAAATCCGGACTGACTGTTACTGAAATTATGTATTGAGTCATTCAACCGATTTCTTCTTAGTTTTACTTAGTCAGTTTAAGTTCAAAAGTATTATTGTCACACAATTAATCTGTGTAGCTTCAAGTTACAATACTGACTAGTGGAATGCTGCTGATTGGTAAATGATATGGTACACAATGTTACAGTTTTGTTCATTAGTCAAAATCGGATTACCAATGCAAACATTGGAAATGAAACAATGTAGAAAGTTAAAACAAAATTAATCAGTAAACATGATGATTTTTCATTTAGTAACATGAACCTCTAAACAAATTGTTAATACCAAGAATAAACGTGATTCAACACTATCGAGTTAGTTGTTGTCATATCAATTACATAATTTTTTTAGATGAAAACTTGAAAACATCCAACGATGATTGATACGTTTTACCTCTTGGTATGAATATATTGTTCTGTTAATAATGCTTTGTATTACGGTAACTCTGTTTACATGTATATGTTAGTTCCGACAGTTAAAATACTATTTTATTTGGAGCATGTACTACTTTGAGAATATAGACAAGTATGACTCACTCACTCACTCACTATGTTAACCGATCAAAACATGGCATCAATCTGTACAGTTCATTTAACTGCTGACTTGAGTTGTATTGATTGTTACAAATTTTTACAAAGTTTGAGATAAACGTGGTTAAAGATGTTAAGTGATATATAACTGAAAAATGTCCAAAGTAGTGAGTGCATTTGCATTCATTTTTTTCCCAGTTTTGAGCTTTAATGTCAAAACTTGATTTGTTCATTTTGAATAATATTCCCGGATTTTCAGCTTTCCGTTTTATATTAAATTAGTTAGTCGACTTCTCTCTCTTTTATTTTATCAATTAAATTTCTCTTTTATTGTGTGTGCTCTTCTTCGGTATGACAACTTGCATCAATATATACTCATACCTAGCGGTATATGATTTGCAACGATTCGTTTTGTTTCTATAACTTGGGAATTTTCCCGGTTTCTACAATTATAGACTCAACATGTTGTCAGTGGTAAAAAAAATTGATAATTTTCAATCCGTCATAAAAACTGTTTAGAATATATATTGTAATGTTTATTCACATCTTTGAGCAACAGTTTTTATAAGAGCTAGTAATACTATCTCACTGTCAAAACCTGAGTCAGATACAGTGTTATCAACCAGTCAGTCAGTTACAACGTAGAACTTTGTACGCGCGTACATCAGTTCAGGTTTCTATACCGCATTAGCGCAGAGACGCAACTGTCAGTTCAAATCCCATACTGGTAGAGATAGTGGAATTATTGGCGGTAATGGAGAAGATTAGGATTCGAAGTTATTATTCAAGAAGTATAATTCAGTGAGATAACTTTAAAAAGAGAAAGATTGAGTTGATGAGGAATTCAGATGGTTAGAATTTGAGAGAACACAAAGAGTGGATGTACATGCGCCATCGTAAATGATTTTGAACTATATATCGTTCAACATCTGTAACCATCGGTTACTATCATCTCGCGGATCCCAACCAGATAGTGTACATCTACCAAAATCACTCAGTCCACCTGTCAGTGAGTTCATGCATTTCTGCCATGTTATATTCTAGCCTTTATAGTTAGAAATAGATGGTTATGTCACCATTAAGCCATTATTTCATCTATAATATACTTACTAACAATATTATCCAATTTCCAACACTAGTGTTCTAATCAGATGACTAAATTCAATGTTTAAAAATTAACGGCATAAGTCAGTCAGTCAGATGCAACGTAGAACTTCGTACGTAAGTACATCAGTTCATGTCGCCATACCACATCAGCACAGAGAAGTAATTTTCAATTCAAATCCATTAGTAGAAGAGTTAGTAAGGGAATTAGAAGTAATCGGAGAGGTTAGGATTAGAAGATACGATTCAAGAAGTATGATTCAGTGAGAAAAGTTTAGAGAGTCGAAACTAGAGGTGTTGAAGAATGCAGAAGATTAGGATTTGAGAGAACACAAAGAATAAATACACCCTGGCGCCATTGCGAACGATTTTGAGCCATGTCATTCAAGGTCTCTAACCATCGATTATTATCATCTCGCGGACCCCGACCAGGTAGTCGACAATTACCGACATGGCATAAACTACTACTGGACTATACTAGTTTCAATTTATACTTTGACACAGACATTTTCCTTTTTCTATATAGCTATTGCTACTAACTTTTCTTTATGGTTTTTTTTTCATTTCTAAAGATTTATGTCAATCAATTAGGAAGTACAGGTGATAGTTTAATGCAATTAGAAGATAAAAATTATCGTAAACTATATGAAGAATGGTTAGCAGAAGATGTTGATCTACAGAATCGATTGAAAGAACTTGAATTATCATTATCTTCTGCTGATGCAGAAAAGAAACGAATGGATGCGCAATATCGTAATTATGTTGCACAGGTTTGTGAACGTTTTCTGTCTCTCTCTGTCTCTCTCTCTCTCTCGTTGTCCTCCATTTATCTCATGCCAGCTATTTACGATTTTTTCTTCTTAGTTTTGAAGATCTGCTTATTTTGTTGAAAAAAAAAGAAGTACTTATTATGATGTACGATGTTTAAGATATGAACACAATGCGTATTAACCCCGAATAATATACATAAATACTCATGTACATACATGTATATTCTGCTTACGACACGAATCTATTTCTTGGTCAATGTTATGGGTTCGTTAGCTCTAACTGCTTATCTATAAATACCTTTCCCTCTTGAATAGTAGTAAAGCAGCTCCTTGCGTTTGTAATCTTTCTTCTTTTTGGATACTATTGGGATATTCATCAAATATCCTACGAGAATTATTTGTAAGTCTAATTCGGTTGGACGATTCCTATTGGTCGTCCTAATTATCAATGTCACATACTTCAATGTTGTTTCCTATTCGATCTAACTGTATAAATATGCATTATCTGTAATGTTTTATGGCCCGGATCCTTAGTCCGGGATCCTTATCCTCTTCTGTACTCGGACCTCGTACTTTTTGGACGCTTGTAGAATGACACGTTCTACTTCATATCAAGTCTTCTTTTTCTACTCTTTGGTGGTTTGGTACGCTTGGATTAAAGTAGCCTGTCGTGTCACCGGATCCTCGGTCCTCGCTCTTGTTTACCGACTAAGGTGAACTCGTAATAGTTCACACATATCAATTGACGTGGTGACGTGCATTCGTAATCGATACATTGCCCCAAATGAAGCCTATATCTTGCCTCTGAAAACCTCGGTAGTTGGAGAGATACATTCGAGTGAGGCAGATCTCGCAATTACCTTGGCTGATTTTCTCTGTCTCGTCCTTTCCTTGAAAACCGCTTGAAAAATTCTTCTCCCATCTGTTCATCATTAGAGAATGAGATGAATGTTGGATGATTGAACGAAATAGTTGATTACAATCAAGATTGAGTGTGAATGATCGAACATTATAAATCTGAATTACAAATAACATTTTTAAGTCTGTGATCCAGTCCAGACTCAAGAAGTTGAGAGATGATTATTCATCAGTGAAATTACATTTAGATTTGTTTTGTAATTGTTAGTGGGACATAGATGGAATCAAAGCATGACTACGTTGCTACGCGCTGATTGGCTAATTTCCTATCCAATCAGCGCCTGATCAATTCTTGGAGAACAGGGTCGAAAATTCTCGTACTGTTAGCTGCGTGCTGATTGGTTAAATCTAATCCAGTCGATCACGTGAATTTCTATCCAGAAGCTTCTCATGTAAATGCTGTAAATAGACTAACGTTGTATCTATTTTTGGCCTTCGCCTTCGCCATCACCTTTGGCTTCTTATTTCCATTTAACCTTGCTATATAATCTTTTCCTGTTCAACCGTGTTTTGATTCTTTGGAACTTGTCCAGTGTAATGTGGTCAGAGAATACTAAGCAATAGGATTTAGCTGGGAATCATTCAAGCAAGCTTTACAACAGTAATATCACCGAATATGACATTACATTTGATGATTATAGAAATGCTAACTGGAATACCTGTTTTATTCTCTATGTAATCGGTAATAAGATGAATACCTGATCGATCAAGTTCGTGCCAAGTTTTTCGAGAAATCATCGTAACTTTAGGGGCATTTTCCAATTGTAGTGTGATGATGTAATCAATGATTAATTTACTCTGCACTATGCTTTTACGAATGTTTTACAGATATCCAATTTGCTCCCATATATGATGTATATATCATTTTTAAACTGTAAGCTATGGAGCACATTAATTTGACTAGATAGATAGAGATATCATCTGTTTGTTTTTATATTTCTCCATATATGTTTAGGTTGAACAACAAGCAAATGATTTACTTTCACAATTATCTGAAACAAATAAATTAAAACAAGAAATGGAATTGTCATTGGAATCCGTTAGTCGACAATTACGTGAAAAAAATGATGAAATCAATGACTTAAGTTAGTTTGATTCAATGTTTTTGTTATTATTATTATTTATTGCTGATGGTTTGTCCGTAATTTTGAATGGTGTATGCGTTGAATTATATTGCCTATTTACTGTACAGAAGTATGATCTCCGTTTAGATATTATTGTCCGTTGACAATCAGCACTTACATAATTTTTTTTATTTCAAAACAGAAGGAGAGTGTTGTAATGCTGCCACGTAGCTAGCTATTCAAATCCTACCGACATCCAAATTTAAATATTCCAATATGATCCAAATACTATTCCCAAATCTCCTATATATCAGAACACAACACCGTTTGATGAAGTTGTTTATTGGGTGGAGTATAGTAGAGAGGAAGGCAGGAAGGAACGGATTGAAAAGCTTTACAGATCATGCTTATTTATGCATTTAGGTCGAATAGGAAAGAGTATCGAAGTCTGTGACATTGACAGTTAAGAGAACCAATAGGAAAAAAACTTTTGAAATGACATTGACAGTCCGGACGACCAATAAGAAACAACATTGGAGTACGTGACATTGATATCTAGGACGACCATAAAATTAACGAGTAGGAATTAACCAATAGTAATTGACCAATAATTCTCTTGGGATATCGGATGAATATCCTAACAGAGAGGAATAAAAAAGCAGTTTTAAGAATATCATACCTCACCTTTCTTCATATCTTTCTGTCGCCGATGGTATAAGGCCTTACAAAATACATAAGCTAGTTCATCTAAAGCTACTCACGAAAGGCTCTCTGTTACTGGCTTCAAAAAGTGTAATCCCTTGGGTACTGCAGTTACGTCATCAGATCCTCGAGATCAACTGTAACAGTTTTTTTGTAGTCGCCAAGAAATACAGTTTCCTTCTACAAATGGGACAATCATCAAGTAATAGCCGTCCTTACACCTCTTAAAGCATTCGAGATTACTTAGAATTACCAGATATGTGGAATGGACACGGGTTCTGTCATAACTATGTACCAGTCAAAGTGCCTCAGTTAAGTATTTCCAGTTGTAAAAATCAAGAAAAGTTAGTAACAGTGATAAATTGTTATTAATTGTAATGATGATGATAAGAACTGTTATTAATCAATGGAACAGGAATTTCGTCTCCCTTTTTCAAGAGATTCAAGATTCTTGCTGCCTACGCGATCTGAATAGTTCTATTAAAGTGTTTATTCTTTTGTTTAACTGGTCAATTTGAAAGTCATTCAATTCTTTTTTGTCGCAGCTAATTAGTTTACTATAAAAAGTCGTGTTTTTCTCAAGTAATGATTCTCTCTTCAGTAATATCAACACCATCTACCTCGATTCACTTTACTAACTGGCCTACGGATAGTTTCAAAGTAAGCTAGAACTGACCAGTTCAAGATGTTGCATAAGTTCATAGAAATGTTAGCTGTTCGACTGAGACATATAGATAGATATAAGCTCACCAGGTTGAATTCTGTTCAACTACCTTACTCACTGATTTGTGATATTAGCTGACTTTGACTCAGAATCGATTGCAGATGTGCAAACGCATTCTTTCTGTGGTGATGTTTCGTTCTCTGATCTTTATGGTTTGGTTGTGAACTTTCATTGTTATTCTGATCGATATCATCAGCACAATCTGTAAGGTAGAAGTGAAGTATCTAAATTCCTTCTTGACATTTGTGATAAATTGTAGCGTATCTGAAATCCATGAATAAAAACTCTTTATGTTCTTCGTCTTCTTCAAAAAGTGTCACTTTAAGATTAATGGAATACAGTAATAATTTTGATAAAGTTGAGTTGAATGATTTGATCATGTAACTTTTATTGTTCTTCTGAACAACATCATCATCATCAGCATCATAGTTCAGGACTTCTACCTGAAATTTTTACTGATGATGTTATTCAGAAAAACAATGAAAACTTCATAACCAAACCATACAGCTTATAGAGAACGAAACTCCACCAAAATCATCCACTTAAGCTTCAAATTTTATCCATCATCTTAAAATACATTCTCTTTTTATCTTTCCCTTTAGAATTGAATTTAATTTTTTATTCCATGAATTCACTTTTGAATCTTATTGTTTTATGCTTAGTGTATTTTTTTAACTGCCACTGAGACTGTTACAACTCACTCACTCTTAATCGTTTTCTTTATAATTTCATATGATCATGATGATCTAATATAATAATAACTCGAACCGATATGCACACATGTCTTGGGTTTTTATATTGCTTTCAACTGGCTGAGCCACAAATCAAGCTGCATGATCTTATTTTGTTTGTCAGTCAACAACAACATAGAACTACGTACGTATGTACGTACGTACGTACATCAGTTCAAGTTCCCCTAACACATTAGCACAGACAGATGCAATTGTCACTTCAAATCTCATAGTAGTAGAGGCAGTAGAAGCATGATCAGTAGTCGGAAAGATTAGGGTTCTAAGATATTATTCAAGAAGTCAGTCAGTCAGTCAGTTGCAACGTAGAACTTCGTACGTAAGTACATCAGTTCATGTCGCCATACCACATCAGCATAGGGATGTAATTGTCAATTCAAATCCAATGGTAGAAGAGATAGTAAAGGTATTAGAAGTAATCGGAGAGGTTAGGATTAGAAGATATTATTCAAGAAGTATGATTCAGTGAGAAAAGTTTAGAAAGTCAAAACTAGAGTTGTTGAAGAACCCAGAAGATTAGGATTTGAGAGAACACAAAGAATAAATGCACCGGCGCCATTGCTCACGACTTTGAGCCATGTCACTCAAGATCTCTAACCATCGATTATCATCATCTCACGGACCCCGACCAGGTAGTCGACAATTACCGACATGGCTCAGTCCACTCGTCAATGACTTCATGGATTTCTGCCATGTTTTGGTTTGGCCGCCCCTAGCTTTCTTCCAAACTATTCCTACACTACAAAACAAAGCTCGACGAGGCAGTCGGTGGTTGGGCATACGCAACACATGTCCCAACCACCTATTCAAGAAGTAGAATCTAGTGAAATAAACTTAAAACAAAAAAGAAAAAAAAAGTGATGAGAAATTCAGAAGGTTACACATAGAATGAATTCACCTGTGCCATTGCAAACGGTTTCGAGGCATGGTCTGATATTGATAAGTTCACACTGCAACATAAATTAACATCAGAGGAGGTAGTCGTAGTTGTTATCAACTCAAATTGTTCAATTCAATCTACATTTACTGATCATAATGTTGACGCGAGGTCATTTGTAGTACAAGTTTATTTCTGCTCTAAAACATTCTTCTCTTTTCATGATATGATGAAGTTAAATGACCAGAATCCTCGAAACCTGGATATATTTTTTAGACACTCTCACTTATCTTCTGATTTCTGACAATTTCAACCACAAGTTCTAACTACTAACTAACCTCTTACATGAAACCTGAGATACATACATACATATTCAGGGATTGTAAATTATAAAAGTTCTCGTGTTTAACGTCTGTCTCATCAACTAGAAGTTCTATTATATATATATTTATATATTAACTACTGATTTAATCAATAATCTTTATTTTATTAAAATTAGCATGTCGTTTGAATTCAGTTCAAATAATTCCTACTTCATTGGCGGCTGTTCAAACTCAACTATTAACATCATCGTCATCATCTGCTGCTGATGCCGTCACTATTGAAGAACAACAACATGTCAACTCTACACCGTCTAGCCAACAACAAGAATCATTGGAACAAATAGAAATTTTGGAAAATCAATTGAAATGTCGTGTCGAAGAATTAGAACACTCTAATATTGAAGTATGTTTTGACAAAATAGTCATGTTTATTGTTTTTGATTTTTATGCTATTTTACACGCATATTACACTTTTAATTATGATGTCAATTGCTTATGAGTATTATAGTATTATTTGATCATGGATGTGTGTGTTATGATGAACGATGTCCGCCGATTCAGTGATACACATGCTTACTATGCGCTTTGTTAGCGAGCTATAACTAAGAAGATTGTGGTTGACAAATTCTAGTAACTAGATATACAATTCTTTCGTATATGTATATATATCAGTCAGATGCAACGTAGAACTTCGTACGTAAGTACATCAGTTCATGTCGCCATACCACATCAGCACAGAGATGTAATTGTCAATTTAAATCCAATAGTAGAAGAGGTAGTAAGGGTATTAGAAGTAATCGGAGAGTATGATTCAGTGAAAAAAGTTTAGAAAGTCAAAACTAGAGGTGTTGAAGAATCCAGAAGATTAAGATTTGAGAGAACACAAAGAATAATCGCTCCGGCGCCATTGAGAACGATCGATTATCATCTCGCGGACCCCAACGAGGTAGTCGATAATTACCGACATGGCCAAGTCCATTCGTCAATGATTTCATTGATTTCTGCCATGTTTTGGTTTGGCCGCCCCTAACTTTCTTCCAACCTACTCCTACAGTACAAAACAAAGCTCTTCGAGGCAGTCGGTGGTTAGGCATACGCAACATGCCTATATATATATATATATATATATATATATATATATATATATATATATATACAATCAATTCATTTCATTATATTTAGACTAAAAGATGTAACAGTGCAGGGAAACAAATGCCGCATCATTTCCAAAATGAATTATACCAAGTAGGGAAAATATTACATTGGATAGATCAAATTTCCCCGTTTGCCTAAGCATACATGAACTCAGATTTATAGTGAAACGATATGATATGATATAATTGATATTCTTCATGCATTCACACGACCACGGATATGAATTTGACTAGCGAAATTTCATAAATGTCTCAAGAATCTGAGAAACGGGGAAGCTTACTTTTATATGAAGTAGGCGCTAAAAATTAGTTCCACTATGAAAACTAAAGTTACGCAGTTCAACTCTCTGCCGCAGCATAACAAATAATCTAAACTTAATTTTCTGGCACAAATGAAATGTTCGCTAACAGATTCGTGCTACTCATTATGGGGTTGGTAGAGATTGTTCAGTTACCTTTTTAAAAAGTGAGTTGATCAATGTTAGACCACCGTTAGAGAAACTTAGAAACACTGGAAGATGACCCTTTCTTTCTGTTATGATACTTGTCAGCAGTGCGCAGTCACGACCCAAGGTCCTTGGTTCAAATCCTCCAAGGTGCAAGAGTTGTGGATGCGCACTACTGACGAGTCCCATACCAGGACGAAACGACTGTCTTTCACTGTTTCCAGGTTTCTAATGATGGTCTAACATTCATAGATCCGTAGTAGTATAATCAGTTTTCTTTAAAATACTGTGCCCACGCTTGTAATTTTTTTTTACCGACCATTTATCTCATCTCGAAATGACATGTTAACCATATGCCTAAATTCATCTAATCTGTCATAGTTCTTTTACCAAGTAGATGAAAATTGTTTTACTTTGTTTGCATTTCACGATTACAATTTATCAGTTATGAATAAATGTATCCATCAATATGTCAATTCAATTCAATTCGAAAAAAATTAAAGATAATCGCAAACTAATCATATGTGAGATAAAAGTCTACCGAGAATTAATACATTCTACGTGCAGTGTGTAATTACACACTACTATTAGATATCTTGATCGAATTGATTAATTTTCGAAATTGCACGGAATGTAGAGCTTCGTACCTACATATATCAGTTCAAGTTGCCATACCACATTAGTACAGAGATGCAATTGTCAATTCAAATCCCATAGTAGTAGTAGAAGTATTAGCGGTAATCAAAAAGATTAAGATTCGAAGATATCATTCGAGAAGTATAAACCAGTGAAATAAGCTTGAAAAGAAAAAGATAAAGGTGATGAAGAATCTAGAGGATTAAGGTTTGGATGGATGCACCTGCGGCATTGCAAACGATTTTGAGCTATGTTATTCAGGGTCTCTAACTATCGATTACTATCATCTCGCGGACCCCAATCAGGTAGTCGACACTTACCAACATGACTCAGTCCACTTGTCAATGACTGATTTGTGTCATGTTTTGGTCTGGTCGCCCCTAAATTTCTTCCCACCTATTACTACATCGTGAAACATAGCTCGACGAGGCAGTCACTGGTTAGGCATACTCAGCACATGTCCCAACCACCTCAACTGATGAAGTTTCACCACTTCATCTATTGATCGCGTACATACTTTATATGAAGCTAAAATTAATAAATATTTTGTTTTAAACCAGTTTATTTACAATAGATTTCTTTATCGATCATGTAGAATATGTGGATTATTGAAAGTTGATTAGAATAAACATACTGATTCTATTTTATTACATACTTACACGGTTAATCCTAATTTTTAGACAGATGGTCTATTCTGACCTTGACATGTGTCTATGATAGTCATAGGTGTTTGTATTTCTATTTGTAACTCACTCACTTATGGTTTCATTGAATAACCAGCCTTATTTACTACTCTGCCTTTTATTATCTGTCTGTATTGACGTATGTGTGATATATGCGTTTTCGAAATCATCTTCGTATGTGACTTGCTGTGTATTCCGTTTATCACTGGTGCGAATTAAGTCGATATATATAGATAGGTACAAGGTTAAATGGAAAATATATATCTCATTATCGTCATTCTCATCTGATTATGATAGGAAAGAAACGTGGAAAATATTTCGCTGAGATGTCAATGACTGACTAACTACTATTTTTTAAGAGTATCGTAATAGTTATGCTACAACCGAAAGAAAGATGATAAGTGCTGATTTAAAGAGAGATGAATAAAAAGTCAGTAAATAACAAATGGTCATTTTTTTAATAGCCGAAGATGTCCAAACTGAAAATACACACAATTCTGATGTACACATAAGTTAGATTTGTCATGATCAATACCAATTGTTTTAGCTGTAGGATAATAAATGTACACCGTATGGGAAATTCTATGGAATATTGTAGAGCTTTACTCGATTTGAATTAGTATATTATATTAAGTAGTCAAGTATAGAGAGAGGGCTTCATTGCTGTTTTGCTCGTCAATTGTGATATGCTTGAAACTATTACGAGTTCACTTTAGCCGGTCGGTAAACGAGAGCGAAGACAGATGATCCAGTGACACGCTAGGCTAATCTAATCCCAGTGTTTCAATGTCCTACTAAGTAGAGGAAGAAGTCTTGAAATGTCGTAGAAAGTGTATTCTACAAGCACCCAGAAAATCGAGGTCCATAAGCACACAAATCGAGTTTATTTATACATCAAAGAAACGTCCTTGGGAGAGCCATAAAAATAGCGTCAACCAGTAACAGCCAAGGACTTTTCGGGTGGGAGATGTAATATCAAAATTAACTGATAAGCCTATGTTCGAAAACATAAAATCTAAAATTAGGACCTTTATTAAGTGAGTTCTGGAGATCTAACCTCCCGATTAATTACCTTTAAATTATTGTCACACACATTAATCTCATCATAGGTACCATTAAAAACCAAGGACCATTGGACAGCTGTTTCGTTTTTAGTGCTCAAACTGAAGACCTCTTGTTGTTTTCAGGACATGACTAATTAATCTTTGTCTGTATCTATTCACACACATACACATATATATTAAACGCTAAAGATGTTTCCTGAAACTGACAATAAAAGTTCCACAGACTAACTAATTATATCTAACTTAGCAAATTCTTAACTCTATTTTTCAAGTAATTTTTTTCTAATAAAAAAATCACTTTGTATATTAACAATGTTAACTTTCTCATATTTCTCTTATTCCATTAAAAAAACAACACCAATCAGATTCATCGATTACATAGTCAATTATCGTTATTGGAAGAAACAATTAAACAATTACAAAATTCATTAGCTGATCGTGATGCTGTATTGGCTACAGCTACATCGGAACGTACTACATTAAGTCGAGCTGTAGAACAAAATAAAAATCTTAAACAACAATTATCTGATTTACAAACTGCATACACACAAATGGTATGTTCTTCTTCTTTTTCTTCGATTTTTTTTAAATGTTTATATTGTCGTAGTGTATGTAAACTAACTCACTTTTTAAAATATTGATTGAAAAATGTAACGTTTTTAATTGTGTAAATATTATTGATCTTACTGTGAAGTTTTTTACTTGAGTTATTTCGTTCATGTTATCTTCCTCTTATGAATGAAGAAGTGTTTACTCAGTGCTTAGTTGTATAAAATTGCTAAACAAACGCCTCCCTACGACTTACTTGAATGCTGGTATTTTCATTGAACTTCTAGAACTATTTTATGAATTACTAATATTGATTTTCTTATGATATAATTATTAAGTAACTAGTTTACTGTTTACACTTGTATATATATATTCATTAGTGGCTATGTTGAACTCGAAATAGGGCTCTCTCATCACTGTAATGGCCCTGTGATCTGACTCCACTTTATACGAACGGTTAAATATATACCATGAAATAAATCTTCCCCTCATACTTAGGCGAACCGTGTTTGTGCGATGGCGGTAATAAGAAGCCAAATAAGGTTTTGCGGATGAATTTATTTCATGCAATCATCAGTTGTTCAAGCAGACAGGCTTACAAACAAAGTGAAGCCAAGTGGGGAAGGCGAGCGATCCAACTCTATGCTATGAAGCATGAATGAGTATTTATAGTCAGATAAAAAGTAGGTCAGACATGTGATGAGCGATGTAAGAAGCAATGTAAAATAGCCAAGACAAAAGCGAATAATAGTTGGCAAGGTCAGTAGACGTGTAAGTAACTCGAGAAAAGAATAGATTGATTAGATTGTCCAAAGGCTGAGACAAACCTTGTGGGCTTGACACATAAGTACACACACTACAATTCCATTGTATTGTAAGCCTTCGTTTGATTCATTTAGTATTGTTTTATACAATTGACTCTTCCTATCTTGTTGCCATTCTTATTTTGTTACAACCTTCCTTCTGTAGTCACAGAGACTTTCTACTGGTTCATGTATAATTGTTATTTTTGATTTTACGATGTTATGCGATCTGATTTGCGTGTATTTACAATACATCTGTATTACGGGGTTGTGAAGATTGTTAAGTTTTTTTGAAACCATGAATCGATCAATGTTAGACCACCATTAGAAACCTGGAAGCACTGGACGGCCGTTTCGTCCTGGTATGGGACTCCTCAGCAGTGCGCATCCACGACTCCTGCACCCCAATGGCGTTAACACCGTTAGATACCGGCTCAGTGGTCCGATGGTTAGGCGTTCGCCTACAATATCGAAGTTCCTGGGTTCGAATCCTGCTATACCAAGACGAAACGGCCGTACAATACTTCTGTTTGAAATATAAATATAGTAGATGTTGGTTCTTAACTTCCAGACTCAATAGCAGAGCAGTGATTAGACATGCAGCATTTTGATTCACTAGGAATCAAGCTACTGACTTAAGGTTAGCAGTGTATGATTTCATGAAAAACCAATGTACAGTCTAATGATATATATATATATATATATATATATAATGACCCTACTAGCATTGCCTTTTTTAGTCCTCATTACTTACTTACTTAAGCCTCTTACCCCTAATTAAGCATAGGCAGTCGACCAGCATTCGTTTTTTTCTGGTTAGGGTGTTTTTCTACCGAGTTCATTTTCTACGGGATGAGATCGCCAACCCGTATGCCTAATCCTCGTCCATTATCCGAGCTTGGGACTGGCAGTAACCCTCAAAAAGGGCTCCAAAGGGGAGTTTTTAATATCCATAATGTAGTTGAAACATTATAACAATGTGTGAACTACTTGAATTTATTATTTTCATTTTCATAATTATTTCTCTACTAGATAATGATTATCATTCCTCTTCTTATTTTTTTTTCTTCCTAAAAGTGTACAAATTATCAATCAGAAATTAAATCAACTAATGAAATGAATTATGCATTAACTAAACAAATTGAACATTTAAATATTTTACAAATGGAAAATCAAAATCAATCAGAAAATATTATTAGTTGTACTATATTATCAATAGATAATGCAACACAAACAATGAATGATACTGATATTGTACATGATCATCAACATTTGACAATGAATAATTCTATACAAATTAAACAACAACAACAGCAACCAACAGAGAATATGATCAATGAAGAAAGTGTAAGTGTGATTGTTTTAATACACCATTACTTCATTTTCATTACTTATGGCTGTTATCCCTAATGAAGTATAAGCCAACCGATTAGCATTCTCCAACCTTACTCTGTTCTGAATCTTCATTTCCACCAGTTCTACCCATTCGTTGTTTATTGTTTTCAAGTGTACTTCAAATTCCCAGTGTAAGGTGTGCTTTAGTTTGCCTCTTTTCTTTTGGCCACCTCATTTTCATTTTGTGTTTTACACTACCTTTTTAAGGTAGGGGCAGTCTTGAAGTTAAGCTATGCTGTTGAGCTCTGTTTAACTCATGTTTCATTTTGATGTGTGATCAATGAAAGTGAGATACTGTTGATCATTGAGCACCCCTAACTATTGACTTTTTAATTTCTGAATTTCGTTCCTCTTACCTCTGTTGTGTATGTAGATGGTCTGTCATTCTGTTAAACATACTCCTCTGTGATTTCCTAATTGTATTCGTTATTTGTGTAGCGTATTCATCGAGTACATAATCTACTTACTGACTTATACCTGTTACTCCAATGGAGCCGACCAATATTCTCCAACCTGCTGTGTCCTGAGCTTCCTTTTCCAGTTCTGTCCAATTTTTGTTCTTTATTCTCATCTACGTTTCAATTCCTCGGCGTAGTGTGTCTTTCGATCTTCTTTTCCTTTGGCCTTGAGGGTTCCAAGTGAGGGCTTGTCTTGTGATGCAGTCGGGTGCTTTCCGTAATGCGTGTTCTATCCACCAACTCCACCACTTCTTACTGACTTCCTCCTTCACACGGAATGTGGTTTGTTCTAACCCACAGTAGTTTGCTGCTCATGGTGTCTGGACCAACAGATCCGAGGTATTTTGTGTTGACAACTGTATTAGTGTAACAGTAGTGGCCTCATGATATAAATAACTATCTTTCTAAAATGTATTATATTATTTGAATCCGACTTCCACTATTTTTGACAGCCAGGCTGTTTTACATGTACTAACCCTTGTATCTAGCATGGAACGTATAGCTTCGAGTTCATGGAACCATTTGGTGTAAGAGTAGGTTAGAAAAGAGCTAAGGGCGGTCAAACTAAAACATGGCACAAATCCATGAAGTTACTGACAAGTGCACTGAGTCATATTGGCAGATGCAGACTACTTGGTTAGGGTCCGCGAGATGATGACATGGCTCAAAATCGCTTGCAATGGTGCAGGTGCATTCATTCTTTGTGTCCTCCTAAACTCTAGTCTTCTGAATTCCTCATCACCTTTATCTTCTTATGTTTAAGTTTATTTCACTAGATTCTATCTTCGGACCCTAATCTCTAATAATACCTTTACTACATCTACCACTATGGTATTTGAATTGACAATTGCATGTCTGTGTTAATATGGTATGGCAACTTGAACTGATGTACGTACGTACGTACGTACCAATTTCTGCTTTGTAACTGACTGACTGACATGGATCCATGCTTTGTAAAATGAGTTCTGTTATAGAAAATTGTAGTGCCTCCACATAAACTTGAGTTCGCTCAAATTTCATTTGATTACGCCTTTCGATTAACTTATGTAACCAAGCTATTTGTATAGCAACAACCCACATGTACCATTGGTATTTTTTATTATCTGGTTTGTATGAGCTTGTACGACTGAGCATTGCTTACGCCTACGCGCTTACTCATCCTTTTCGCTTTAATGTTAATCTCTTAACACCCCTATGAACTCACATGACTTGTTCCGCTTGCTTTTCACCTTGTCAGTCATTCGTCTGTGCATGCCTATTTCGCTTGTCATATGTCTGTCTTATTTTTGTCTGACTATATATTCTTAGTCATACTCTATTTCAAGGAGTTGGCTCACTAGCCTTCTCCACATCGCTTCTTTCTCCCATTCGCTCGCATTGTAATCCAAAGAGTTGGCTCAAAAGCCTTCTCCAATTCGCTTCGCCCATTCGTTTGCATTGTAACCCATGGAGTTGGCTCAAAAGCCTTCTCCAGTTCACGTCGCTTCATTCGTTTTATTCGCTGCTTTGTTCATTCTTCTGCGCATTCGCTCGCCAGTGCACTACAAAATGGTGATCCCGACGTCTACAAAATCAATAATCTTAAAAACCAGGACATAGTTCATATGTCATGTGTAACATTGATATAACTCCATTGTTTAATGGTCTCATAGAAACTTTTTTTTAAAAAAAATTTTTTTAATTGTAGAATAATCTGAACCAACTGCTAAAAGATGAGATTACATCATTAAGAAATTTGTTCACACGTATTTCTGTAATTTGTCAATGGTTTGAATGTGAAAATGGCAAGATGATTGATGTCAACCAATGTAATGATCCAGTTTATTGTGTTAATCTATTAGAAGAATCAATTCAAAAGCTAATAAGAAAACATTCAACAAATCTAATTGATAATTCTGTACAATCGCCAGATTATAGTATGAAACAAGAAGAATTAACATCCTATATGGAAAAATTACAAAATCTTCAAGTAATTTTAAAGTTGACTTTTTATTTACAATTGTATTTTATATCAATTATTTACTATAGTCAATCACCAGTCAGCTGTGAACAACAGCAACGTTACGACCGGACTCTTTCAAAATGTTTTGGTCACGCGTATCTAACTACTGACAGGGAAGTCCTACTCATTGCCTGCTCGTGGCCGGGGTTTTATTTATTAATAAAGTTGAGAGGACGAAAAGTGATCTTTCAGCCGGGTACGGGTTATCCATCCACTTAGAGGAGTTGGAAAATCCCAATTCCGAACCAATGGTTCACATAGACCCAAGGGTCTTTACAGAACTAATGAAGTATGAACATATTCTTGTTTAGTGGCTGCCATTGTACTGCACTCACTGACGTTGTCCCATCATTGCCTTGTGGATGAAACCTGTAGATCGCAGACTCAGGGAATGGCCCCTTGGGAGAACCACCTGTTCCGTTCCGGGCGTCCGGGTGGAACCCTAGTCCACACCCAAATTCATCGACTTATGTGGTGCATAAGTGTTCAGGTGCTTCCTTATACCACAATAATTATGTATTTAAATGAAATAAATGCCAACTCGATTTCCCAACATTTGTATTAGTATTTTGATTCTAAATCAGTAATTGTTTCTGGCTATAAAGTATAAGACTGAATTATCAAGTATTTGTTGGAATGTTTATTCACTTAGCGTGAATTCAGCAAAAGTGAAATTACTTATCAAGGCAGCCACAGAGTAATAATAGTCTGTATTAATTGTATACGGTTTACCTTTTTCTTGAAGTATTGACAGATTATTGATCGAATTAAGAGTTGTGAAATATCATTTACGAACATATCAATCAACAGCAACATAAAGCTTCGTACGTTCGTACGCACATCAGTTCAAGTTTCCATAACACATTGGCACAGAGATCCAATTGTCTACTTCAAATCCCATCGTGGTAGTAGAAGTAGTAAAAGTATTAGCAGTAATCGGAGTGTTGTAACGGTTCGCTTGAATAATTCCCAGCTAAATCCTATTGCTTAGTATTCTCTGACCACAATACACTGGACAAGTTCCAAAGAATCAAAAACACGATGGAACAGGAAAAGATTATATTCCAAATAGCAAGGTTAAATGGAAATAAGCCGAAGGCCAAAATAGACACAACGTTAGTCTTCTGGATAGTAATTCACGTAATCGACTGGATTAGACTTAGCCAATCAGCATGCAGCTAACAATACGAGAATCTTCTACCCTGTTCTCCAAGATTCGATCAGGCGCTGATTGTATAGGAAATCAGCCAATCAGCGCGCAGCAACGTAGTCATACTTTAATTCGTCTATGTCCCCCTAACACCTCCCCTTTGAGAAAATTCGTAGGATCTGGTGCTAGAGTCTAACTGCTTCCTAGGTGCTGCCACCCGTACTCTTACGAGCCGCCTGCTCTGTAGGAGCCATGTCTTTAAACAACCGTCGATTGGGCTGCTTCCCTATCGATAAGGTTTGTTGAGGCTCATGAACAGCATATGGTATAGGACGTCTCGGACATGAAACAGGTTTGACATCTGATTTCATATTCGTACAGCGGCCAAGGCTATTCTGAAAAACAGAGGCTGACTTCCTCTTCCGTTTATCTTGTAACCTTTCACCTGTCTTCTTTGTAAGTATCGGGGTGTCCAATGATGAACACGACACGCTGCAGACACTGTTAATGGGTAAATCCATTATTCCCAGTTTTTCTAGCATATCTAGACCAAGAAGATCAAGGTTTGGCCGTTCTGTCAGATAGCATATTCCTGTACATTTTGTTCCGTTGAAGGAAAATTCACACTGTATCTCACCAACCAGTTTTAACACACCACCTGAAGCGCTTTTAGCTGTTTTCTTAGATGGCTTCATTGGCGGTTTTCCCAGCAAGTTATACGTTTCTCTAGACATTAAGGTGATATCTGATGCCGTGTCGATTTGAAAACGAGCTGATGCACCGTTCATCTGGATAGTAACATACTTTCTCCGAACGTCATAGTCTGTTTGAAAAGCAGCTACCAAAGAAAGTGATTTAGACTCGGCTAGTTTCATCACATGTCGAGTACGTTTATGCTTCTTCCTGGGCTGAGACGTACGATTTGATTGACAATGGCCTTCTTTATGTCCACGTTTGTTGCACATCTGACATTTATGTTTTTTAAATGAACAGAATCGTACGTAATGCCAATCACCACATAACCAACACGGAGAGATTAAGGTTCGAGGATATTATTCATGAACATATCGAAGTTACGTGGTGATGAATAACAAAATTATTAATTAATTTTTTTCTACAAAATCACGTACATCAGTCGATAGTTAAAATTGAATTATTATAAGCGTAGTGTTTGTCGCTTCAGATTTGATGAATACAAGATAAACTTTTTAAGTATTTGAGACAGAAATAGAAAATAGAATTACCTGATTGGATAGTGAATTATTATTATTAATTTTCTCATCGTTCTAAAGGTTACTCATACACAATTGGAAGCTAAATTTTTAAAATGTATGGAAGAGCTTAGCACTGTGAAAGAAGAACGTTCTACATTAGAAAGTATAAATACTCAATTAGAAATGGAAGCTGCAACCGTAGAAGAATATGTGATACTATTTACACATCGACGTGCTGCAGCTGCAAAACGTGCAAAAGCTCGTGAATTATTACTACAACGTTTAGTAGATGATAGAAGACGATTACGTGATCATTTGAAAAAACTTTTTTCACAAATACAACCAGTTAGCAATGGAAATGATGATTCAAATAGTCAAACAGAGATTGTAGAACAACAACAACAAGTCAACGCCAAAGTGAATGATTCAAGTAAGTGTTGTATTTTTTTTATTGTGTTCTAACTACGAAAATAAATGTCAGTCAGTCAGTTAGTTAGTTAGTTAGTTACAACGTAGAACTTCGTACATGAGTACATACGTTCAGGTTACCGTACCGCATTAGCATAGAGATACAACTGTCAGTTCAAATCCCATAGTGGTAGAGATAGTGGAAGTATTAGCAGTAATGGAGAAGATTAGGGTTCGAAGATATGATTCGAAAAGTATAATTCAGTGAGATAAGTTTAGAAACAGAAAGGTAGAGGTGATGAGGAATTTAGAAGAGAATTTGAGAGAACACAAAGAATGGATACACCTGTGCCATTGCAAACGATTTTGAGCCATGTCGTTCAAGCTCTCTAACCATTGGTTACTTTCGTCTCGCGGACTCCAACCAGGTAGTCTACACTAACTAATATGACTCAATCCAGTTGTCAGTGATTTCATGGATTTCTGTCATATTTCGGTGTGGCTTCCTTCCAACTTATTCCTACATCGCAAAACATAACTGGACGAGTCAGTTGGTGGTTAGGCATACCTAGCGCATGTCACAACCACCTCAACTAATGAAGTTTCAACACTTTATCTATTGTTTTGTCATCCCTACTAGGTCGGGATGGCAAATATTTATAGTTACTTAAATGGATATCAGTAAAGTGAGATTAAAACAAGTTAGTTGAAGGTCATGAGTGAGTAGATAAAAAGTAATCAAGGTTTATCAAATGAATGATAAATTTTATTGCTTTGTTCGAAGACATCTATAATCGAATACTAATAACCTACGAATGTCCTCTACTCTTATCGGCCATGTTTAGCAGCCATTTTGTAGGACCGAGCAAACTGCTGCATAGTAGACTCGTCCTTTGGTTAGCAAACGGATATCTTGCCTGCGCTACAGGTGACGCAAGTTGGCGAAAGCCAATCGAGCTTTCTGTATCGGTGCTGAGATTTCGTCAGTCACCAGGCCATCAGCACTGATGAGACTCCCAAGATAAGTGAAGCAACATTTTGCATTTCGAGGGGGAAAACCGCATCCCAAATATGCTTGCATTGTTGCTTATGGTAGTCAGAAGACTCTGCATTTTGTCAGCGTCTTCACCAAGTAGGACTATGTCATCGGCATATTCTAAGTCGATAAGCGAGCCTCCTGGTAATAGGTCTACTCCAGAAAATTCAGACGAGGATAAGGTTGTTTCTAGGAGCATGTCTATGATAAAATTAAACAAGAGTTGGGAGAGTAGTTGACACCACTTGAAGTTGAGAATTCCAATGACAGTTGACCATAAGCTCTCACGAAAATAAATGATTCATTGTCCTTTCAATTGGTTTTATTCACAACATTAATCTTCTTCCTGTCGTAATGCCTTTTGAATCCACAACTTCAATTTCTTTTAAAGTTTTGAGGCATAGCTTTCATAATCTATTCTTCCTTGCATATAAAATTAACATTTCAACCTAATAATACTTCGAAGATATTCATGATATAAAACTCGTTGTTTTCGATAAATGCAAATCTAATAGTTGACATTTTTATCTGTCGTCTTATATTCCTTCCTCTGTAGTGAAGGAGAACACAGGTGAGGGCAACCGAATTGTATTTAACGAAAATTACAGAGTTACTCAGTAAAATAGGAAAACCATATCGTAAACCATTAATTTGCAAATCTTCAATCAATCATCAATCCATTGTCTGACATTTCACTTATTCATGCATTTCATACAAATTCCATTGTGTTCCAACTCTTCCTTTCTTGATCTTCCCTCATCTTCTGCTGCCAGACATTACGTTTTCACTCGCGTCATATACTACTTATAAGTAGCGCGCACCACACCTCTAGTGTAACTTAACATTATTAGCATTATCTATGTTAAATATTTTTAAGAAAAAACATCATACAAACATGTTTTTTCTTGGCAACATTGTAGAGAGAGATAGAGTCTTATTTCAATGGTTTTTGTCACAAAAAATAACATTTTGTTTACATATTGGAAAACGTAAATAAAGAGCTAGTTCGTTTTCCCACAATGTAAAAGCTAATCATTTGCCATAATATCTTGAGATACTAACTAGCTAAACTCACAATCTATTTAACAGGATCTCTAAATATAATTTCACATTTATTTATTGATTTCTGTATTCTAAAAGCAATGCAACTTATGTCAATCATAAGTGACTGAGAGAACACTACCATTTCCAAATTAGAAGCGAATAATAGGTTCGCACTATTCCGATCAAACCTAAATTATATTTAATTCTTTTTATAATTCAATTCAAGAAAGCGATCTATAATTTAGTAAAATTTGATACAATGTGATATATATACATAAACCGATGTCCCTACTAGAATGGATCAGCACAGCAAGATGAAGAAAGTATCGCAATATCATACATATTATCAAAATACTTGAAATGATATTAGTTAGTATACACCATAGCTATAATAGAAACTAGACGCGCTATCGGATGTGGTTCGTTATGAATTATAAAGTATACATATATATATTTGCTACAACTCATTTTACGTTTTTAATCATCGTTGTTTGACAAACCCTAACCATATTTTCAACATCTACCAATAAGGTTCAGTCTATCAGTAAATAATAATTTCACTCGTAGGAAAGATTTGATTGTGACTGATTCGGTCTTGTGAGCTTGTACGGCACAAATCCATAACAAGTACACTGAGTCATGTTGGCAGATGCAGATTACTTGTTTGGGGTCTGTGAGATGATAATAACCGATGGTTAGAGACCTTGTACGACATGGCTCGAAATCGTTTGCAATGGCACATGTGCATCCACTCATTGTGTTCTATGAAATTCTAATCTTCTGAATTGCTCATCACCCCTACCTTTTTGTTCCTAAACTTATCTCACTGAATTATACTTCCTGAATAATATCTTCAAACCGTAATCTTCACCCTTTCCGCTAATACTTCTACTATTTCTACCACTATGTGATTTGAACTGACAATTGCGTCTCTGTGCTAATGTGCTATGGTAACCTGAACTGATGTACTTACGTACGTACGAAGTTCTACGTTGTAACTGACTGACTGAATTTCGCTTTGTAGAATAATGATAAAAATGATTAAAACTTGCTTATGATAGAAATTTTAAAGAACCATATTAATTATATTGACTACCTTTTATCATTCAGATCATCTAGAAAATGGATTCCTAAATGAATTTCGTTCACTCATTGACGAAATTGGACTATCCAATGATGAGAAAGAATTTGAAGCTGGTCTATCCGATTTAAATGATGAAGATGTCAATGACAATGAAATAGAAAATCCAACTAATAACAACAGCGAACTCGTTTCTGATTTAACTACTACTGCAAAGCATCATTTCACATTGGAAAGTTTACGATATGAAGCGTTACGTCATGACTGTCCACATTGTAAATGTTGTGTTGGCACATTATTGGAAGTGTAGTACTCTCGTTGTTTCGTTTTTTTCTTTAACAATTATTGATTCGATTTCAATGATTTCAATGCACACACCACCCACCATTATGTCTTTCATGATTATTATAGAATAAGCAGATCAATGTCACTGTAAAATTCTTTTTTGAAAAAAAACAAAACAAGTGATCATTTTGTACAGAATTTTTTTTCATTTGAATATAAAAGTCTCTCTTTTTTTTAAAAAAAAAATTGTCAATAGTATTATAAACATGAACAATAACCGTTATGAATCAATTATGTGTTGTCACAGTAAGTAGTCTTGTTGCTTATTTTCTAAATTTTTATTTTCATTTGTTTTTGGTTTATAATCAATATTCCATTTTACCTTTGGGGGCAAATGAGTTTGTTTGTGTTATTTTTTGCTTGAGGAAATTGGAATATTATTTATTCTCAATACTCCATTTAGTGACTTTGATGAAAATAAATCAAATGGAGAGAAATGAGTTTTGTGTTGTTTTTTTTTTAGTTAATGAAATTGATTTATTTGTCCAGAGATGAAGGAAAAACACTGATTAACTGATTGATTGATTAACTAATTACAGAGTGTGTGAAGAGAGGAGATATGTCCACAGTCGTATTAAGCAGATCGTTGTTTCATAGTATATGAGAGCTGTTTGTACTTTTGTCAGGATATTCAGTCAGTCAGTCAGATGCAACGTAGAACTCCGTACGTAAGTACATCAGTTCATGTTGCTATACCACATCAACACAGAGATTTAATTGTCAATTCAAATCCAATAGTAGTAGAGGTAGTAAAAGGTATTAGAAGTAATCGGAGAGGTTATAATTAGAAGATATTATTCAAGAAGTATGATTCAATGAGAGAAGTTTAGAAAGTCAAAACTAGAGATGTTGAAGAATCCAGAAGATTAGGATTTGAGAGAACACAAAGAATAAATGCACCAGCGCCATAGGATATTCATCCAATATCGGATCCCTAGTCCGCGATCTTGATTCTTTTCTGGAATCGGACCTTGTACTTTTTGAATGTATGTAGAAAACATGTCTTACTTCATATCAAATCTTCTTCTATTCAGTGGAGGTTTGAGACAATCAGATTAGAGTAGCTTGTCGTGTCGCCCCGGATCCTTGCTCTTGTTTCTCGACTAAGGTAAACTTGTAATAATGGTTCAAGCATATTATCTAGTCTTATTCGGTTTTTCATTGTTGGTTGAACGTATTCTGTTTTGTGTATTTGTGATATAACTGTCTGGTAGTATTGAAAAATCCTGTCACTGACGTTAGATAGACATGAGATCAACAGTTACTATGAACTAATGTGTTCAAATTCAACAGTACACAATAATAATAACAAATATGATGTTATGGTGTAGGAAGAGGTCAGTAAGAATCGTTTTTTATGGTTGATAATTGTTAGGATAATTATATGAAACGTGAAGAGAAAATTGAAGATGTCGTAAAGACATATTTATGATTTGTATCCTAAAGAAATATCAGCTACAAAATAATTCACCCGTTGGATAGGGAGGGATCAGGTACGACGAATCAAGGAAGGAGGGAAATAATTTATAACTCAAAGCATGATGTAATGTAAGTGATTATTGGAAACTGAAGTAACCAAATCAAAATAGCATTGACATTAGTATCTGTTTGAATGTAGAAATTTGGTTTGTTTCAATAAAGTGTTTACCTTGAAATGTAACCAATGACAAAGTGGCCAGAAACTAGACTAAAAATACCGTCTGTTCCTATCAGGAAATACATTATACGTACATGATATTTGAGACGCGCACTTTCCAAGAGTTAATATTGCTGATACACTCTATTTTTATACTGGATAGAAAAGACGGACAGTGAGATGGGTAGTATATTTTATTAAACCGAATTATATGTATATGTACCCAATTATATATATATATATATATTCCTTAGAAAATTAGACCTGTAAGTGGTTTATATCTCCTCTTGGAAATGAAAGCTATTTGTTGGCCTGTCATACACATTTTCTGATTGTAACAATGTTGTTGTATATGCTATTCATGTGGTCTACAAGTAGTATGCAGTGGAGTGTCAACCTGAAGTTACTACCTAAGGAAAGTGTCGGATGTGGATGTATCGCGCGACTAGTGTTTTTTTTAAGACTAGAAAACATATAGGAGAAGACAGTCAATAATCCTCTTGTTTTGTAAATGGAAGTATGAACACAAGGTGTACACATTTTGCTAGTCAGCAACTGTCTTCAAATAAATCACTCATTCCTTCCGGTCTTACCGTCTTCGTTCATTATATCAGTGTATTAAGATGATCATAACATTAGTTTTCCATTTCTGTGTACTTGTCTTCATTCGTTCGCCACTTTTCTCTTGCAAAATATTCATATAGTCAGCATGAGGAAAATCATGAAGGACTTTTCTGTATCATTCATTTTCAATCCAGATCAAAGATTTTCTGTGTAACAAAGTCTTTCTTGTTCGATAGGATTGATTCGATTTGTGAGCTTGGTTATCTATCATAAGTGATTACTTGTCACACAAAGCATACTTCTTAAGATTACAACATAAATTCTACAAACTAGTTTTATTGTTCACAGGATAATATTTCATATCACATTTGTATTTAGGAAATATCTAGTAATATGTTAGATTTTTATCGTCGTCAAAAATATGTTGACCTACGATGTCACTGGAATAACTGCGCACAATTTTCTTTTACAAATGTCATCAATAATGCTCCTCTTGGGCATGTTAGCTCCCCAGAACAATCACTTGGAAAAGGTCCTAATTTTGGATTTTTTTCTCTTTGCGCATAAGCTGCTCAGTTGACCTTCACCTTACACTTCCCACCCACACGGTCATTGGTTGATGTATTATTTTAGTATGCTATTTTGTGGCTCTCTGAAGGACATTTCTATCATGTATAAATAAACTAGATTTCTGTGCTTGTCAACCTCATATTTTCTGGGTGTTTATAGAATACACTATCTATGCCTTATCAAGACTTCTTGATATAGTTAGCCGGGCTGGGGACAAACGGATTAGAATTGCCTATCGTGTCACTAGATCATTTTTCTTCACTCTCTTATTTACCGAGTAAGGTGAACTCGTAATATTAGCCAGCATTCAAGCATATCAACTCAAAAAACCTATTAAATCAAAAATGGAATCTTTTTAATTGTCAAATTACTAATACTGTGGTGCGCGCTACTTATAAGTAGTATATGACGCGAGTGTAAACGTAATGTCTGGCAGCAGAAGATGGGGGAAGATCAAGAAAGGAAGAGTGGGAACACAATGGAATTTGTATGAAACGCATGAATAGTGAGTGAATAGTCAGACAATGGATTGAAGATTTGTAAATTAACCGTTTACGATATAGTTTTCCTATTTTACTGAGTAACTCTGTAATTTTCGTTAAATACAATTTGGTTGCCCTCACCTGTGTTCTCTTTCACTACAATACAACAAGAAATGAAACAAATCATATACATACATACATAGATATATCCAACTATTAATTAATTATTTACATGAGACTCTGGTGATGATGATGATCAATATATATATCATATTACACTTGTTCATTCATTGTTTTGTATAGAAAAAAAGAAGATAGTGAGTTTGTTTTTAAAACAAAACAGAAAAATAATTAAACAAATAAACTTTAAATGCATCATAATCTGTGTTGATGATGGTGGTGGTTGTGTATTTTCTTCTTTTTAGCGTTAAAATGAATTAACCTTTCATCTCTTGATCAAATAATTCATTCCAATAAAGTTGACGATGTTTAGGCAATGTATCCATAGTGTAACATTCAATGCCAGCTTTGTATAAAGCTTCATTAAATGTTGTTGCACAAGTTACATCCAAATAGCTTTCATCAGTAACATTGCTGCTATTACTATTATTATTGACTACTATTGTTGAATGAACTAATGCATCTTGTATACCGACATGTAAATTTGTATTCAATTTGATCGAATTCTGTGCTGGTGATGATGATGACGCTGTTGCTGCTGCTGATAATGATGATGAGAACCATAGTTGATTAGGTTGTTTATAAAAACGCAATAAATTCAATAGATCAGTTTTATTGCCAATAGTTGGTGGATGCACTGATTGCATAGTTTTCATTTGAGGTGGTGATTGTGATGGTGATGATGATGATAATAGTAATAGTTTACATAAACGTACAAATTGTTGAGTAAATTCACTAGTTGAATTCTCTTTATTATATAAATATCTGCAATTGAAGTAAAATAGAAAGTTAGATTAGATTAGATTGGATTATTATACTTCTTGTTGTGTTACTATTTTTATTTTATTTTGGGGGGGTAAAATTCTAAGCCTAAACCGTCGAAATCGGTCACAATGTCATGAACTCATTCATATTTTTATGCCTTTCTAGATCTTGTTTGTATTCGCGTATTCGTTTACATTCATTCTGTTTTATTCAATCATATTTCTATTGTTTTGCGCATGGTATTATGTATACGTTAATTATCAATGGCTGTCTGAATAAATCTTTAAAATTTGTTCGCTATCGGTTGGTTTACATGCATTCATTTCAACATTTTTTAATCGAACCTTTTTTTCAAAAAGGAAAAGTGATATATAGTGAGCCAATTAAAATTCACCAAATTGTACCAAACTCAAATTTGATGACACGTGCATCTTGATTGGCCGAGAAATCGTTTCATCTTCTAAGGAGTATATCATGGCTTATATATATATATATATATATATATATATATATATATATATATATGCATTACGGAGTTGAGAAGATTGTTAAGTTACACATTTTTGAAACCATGAATCGATCAATGTTAGACCACCATTAGAAACCTGGAAGCACTGGACGGCCGTTTCGTCCTGGTATGGGACTCCTCACCTTTATATATATATATATATATATATATAGTATTTCAACTCGTTTTTTAAAAATTTTTATAATCATTAATATGTCCTTGTACATCGATGATTAATATGAACTCAGAATCAAATCAAAATTAAACGATAGATATATGCACAAGATTATATGAATATTGAAGACTCCTTCATAAAAGTTTTTATTGATTAAATCATCCTTTAATTTATATTTGAGAAGAGCTTTGGGAAGATCAACAATAGGTAATCCAGCAAGTGCCATGATTCCGTCAACACATGGAACTACTAATGTAAGTTTGATATCCACACTAACAGAAAATGCAGTTCGTTTTGCTCAAACATTTTTTTGGTTCAGTGAACTCCGATAAGTTCATTCATTCATTTATTTTTTTTGATCAATTGATTGAAAAATGCAATCAAACATCAATGTTTAAGAATTGTATTTTTATCCTTGATCCATGTCTCCAATATTACCAAAATTTTTTTTCATTAAAAAGGAGTAAAGGTTATGTTTTTATCCCCTTATAGTCAATTTACATTTTCAAAAAATTAAATCCATTGTATATAAGATCACTGGCAAGCGGATTTAATGATTTATTTACAAATCTTATATAATATTAAATTCTGTAAATCAATTAACCACAAATGATTTGTTTACAAGGTTATTCGAGGCATATACATCGCAATTGTTTAAAAGTGATTGCTAAAAAGAAGACTAACTAAAAAAATATTCTTTTTATTTTTTTTAAAAACACTGAAAATTAAAAAACAAAAGTTGAAATACCATATATATGTATATATATTCAAAACAGTGGTTTTCTTTGATAAATTTGAACAGAGAAATGAGAAGACATATTTTGTGAGATAGTACCATCATAGAGTACCGTCATCTCAAAATCGATCAAGAAACCCAGCCTTGTCCATTGCAAAACATTTAATGATGAGTGATCATCAAATTGACCCAAAATTAGCCTTTAGAGTTGTGACATGTCATCAAAACCTACACACACTGAAACTATTCGAAGCTATTTTGATTGGTCGGAAAAGTTCAACTTTATGTGTTCAAAAACAACTGTATGTTGACCTTTGTTTACCATGGTTCTAGTGAGTGAATGTCATGCTAAATAAGAAATTTCGACCTTATCTTCAAAACTGTATTTACACAAATAACATGTTGCTTGTATGTGACTGACGAGAAAGCACGAAATGGTACTATCTCACAAAATATGTCTTCTCATTTCTCTGTTCAAATATATATATATATATATATATATATATATATATATATATATATATATATATATAAAGGTGTTTTTATGCATGAAACCAATATCTCCAAACAAACTTCTCACTTCATTCTTAATCTTTTCATTCAGTAGTAAACAATTGGAGGCTTGTATACATGGAAGTTTGTTTATGTGTATCAATCTCAGGCACCGTGAATCATAACATTATTAATAGACGAGGATAAATAGTATAGTATAGTAAAATATTCAACTAGAACAGTGATCTACCAAATTATTTACTACTACTACTACTACTACTACTACTACTACTACTACTACTACTACTACTATTACGAACAGAATTTAGAAAACATATTGACTGTTTTATTAAGAAAAGACAGGCAGAGACAGATACAACGCAAAACTTTGAACGTAATTACATCAGTTCAGGTTGTCATACCACGTCAGCACAGAGACGCAATTGCCAGTTCAAATCCAAGAGTGATAGCAATAATAGAAGTAATGGAGAAGATTAGGGAGCGAAGATTTGATTCGAAAAGTATGATTCAGTAAGATAAATTTAGAAGGAGAAAGGTAGAGATTATGAGGAATGCAGAAGCTTAGAATTAGAGAGAACACAAAGAGTGGATGCACCTGCGCCATCGCAAACGATTCTGAGCCAGCATTGCTTATACGGTCGTCCCAGGATACGCGAGCAATGCTTCAGAGACATCGATGATCGAAGACTAGTAACCTAAGGAAGTCCTCTACTCTTAACGGCCAAGTCTCGCATCCCTACTGTAGGATGGAGCGAACTGCTGCTCTGTATCGGTGCTGAGATTTATTCAGTCACCAGGCCATCAGCACCGATCAAACTCCCAAGATAAGTGAAGCGGTCTACACGTTCGACTACTTCACTCCCTATCACTAATTCAGGTGCTGTCGCAAACCAATCTTGAAGCAGTATTTTGCATTTCGAGGAGGCAAACCGCATCCCGAACATGCTTGCATTGTTGCTTAGGGTGGTCAGAAGACTCTGAATTTTTTCAGCGTCTTCACGAAGTAGGACTATGTCATCGGCATATTCTAAGTCGATAAGCGAGCCTCCTAGTAATCGGTCTACTCCTGAAAATTTATACGAGGATAAGGTTATTTCTAAGAGCATGTCTATGATAAAGACAATTTAAGCATCATGCATTATTGCATTACACACAATCAGCCGAAAATGGATGCGATTGTTGAAACATTGAAAATATGTTTTTTTTTAATTATTCAAATACATTATCATCCACAGCTGAGATCCGGCTATTAGTTAAAATACATATACAACGTACTGAAATGTATTGGAATAATAAATTAACTCTACGATAGCTGTAGCCAATAGTTATGACGAATTTGATAAACCTTAAGAATAAAAGATAGCCAATCAGAAAGAAGTAAGGCAAGTGATCTTTAAAGATCATGCATGGTACACAGATCGAAAAAGAACGTAAAATGGCTCATCTCATTTTGATGACAAAACCATCTCACATTGAATAATTTAAGGTCTGAGTTAAAAACAGAGTTTAGGCTTAGAACTAAAAAGAAAAAGAAATCTTAAGCACAACTCCTACATCATAATAGTACAACCTCCTGAACCATCCCTTAGTTTGAACTGTAAAACGGAAATCTTTATTTCAAATCCTAAACCTAACATTATCATAAATCATAATTTCTTAAATGTAGTCTTTTGATTGACTAAACAAAAACCAGTGAAAGTCTTTAATTAAGTCCCTTTACTCAGTCAGTCAGTCAGATGCAACGTAGTACTTCGTACATAAGTACATCAGTTCATGTTGCCATACCACATTAGCACAGAGATGTTATTGTCAATTCAAATCCAATAGTAGAAGAGGTAGTAAAGGTATTGCAAGTAATCGGAGAGGTAAGGATTAGAAGATATTATTCAAGAAGTATGATTCAGTGAGAACAGTTTAAAAGACGAAACTAGAGGGGTTGAAGAATCCAGAAGATTAGGATTCGAGAGAACACAAAGAATAAACGCACCGGCGCCATTGCGAACGATTTTGAGCCATGTCATTCAAGGTCTCTAACCATCGATTATTATCATCTCGCGGACCCCGACCAGGTAGTCGACAATTACCGACATGGCATAAACTACTACTGGACCTATGATCGAAAACCAGTAACCGACGAATATCTTCTACTCTTACTGGCCATGTTTCACAGCCATAAAGTAGGACGGAGCGAACTACTGCACAGTACACTCGTCCTTTAGTCAGCGAACGGATATCTCGCCTACGCCATAAGTGACGCAGGTTAGCAAAAGCCAATCGAGCCTTCTGTATCCGAGCCTGGGATTTCGTCATTAAGTCCCTTAATTTCACTCTTATTTACCAGCATAATCAAAAATTCTTAAAAATAAGCAAAAAATATTAGAATTGTTCAAAGGCAGGACTCCAAAAATGAAGTATATATTTGTTTTCACACTATCCAAACTCATGAAAATGAAATTCTTTTCATGATTATTACACACACACACACACTCACCGATTTAAATGATGTACAGCTATGAGGAATAATAATGGTTGACGAGTTATTTGCACTGTACCAGATAGAATTGCAGCTGCATATACACGTATCATGGATGAATTGGATTCTGTTGGTTCAAGGAAACTAGACAATGGTATAATAAGCTATATGTACATGAATATAAGAAAAAAATATCAAGAAAATAATGAGAAAAATATAAATTAGGAGAAGTAAAGATACATACTATTAAATAAGTTTTTTAAGTAGTGGTTAGCGTTTTTTTGGTAAGTTAGTTTTTTTGACGGGATGAGGTCGCCAAACCCACGCCCAACTCTCCTCCTTTAACCGGGCTTGGGACAGGCAGTAGCCCCAAAGGTTCTACTGGCCAGGTTTTTTAAGTAGTGGCTTAGTAGTAGTCAAAATGTTCGGCTTCCAGAAACTTAAGTCTCAAGTTTGAGCTCCACTCCCCCTACACACCAACAGTGTAGATCACATCCAAATAATTACCTGGTAAAAAAACGGGTTAATCACATTAATTAATTACAGTCCATTAAGTTAGGTCACTACTTCACGCATTGGCAAGATTGTTTTTTTTGATCAAGTATCTTAAATACACTGACAACTTGACTGATGATATCATTACTCTTCAGACTAAAAAAAAAC